GAGAGCGGGGAGCAGCCCGGGGCTGGAGGGGGGGACACACTGGGGTCGGGTCCGAGCCCCGGGAAGGGCAGGTACCCCCAGCGTGGGGCGGACGGGCCCGTTCCCGGGTGGCTGCTTTTGGGGGGGTTGGTAGAGACACCCCAGTTTGTGCAAAGCAGCGGGGTCGGCACCGATCCTGGGTGCCATTGCGGGTTGGGGACAAAGTGACTCGCCCGAGGTCGCGCAGGGAAGGCTGTTGCAGAGGGACGAAGCGGCGACGGCGGCAGATCCTGTTTCGGGTTTCGGGGTACCCCGCTCCCATATGGAGGGGAAGGGGAAGGAGAGCAGACGCGATGCAGATTCAGGGATGCAGTGTGGATTTGGGGGTGCAGAGATAGGGATGCAGGGATGGGGGTGCAGGGGTGCGGTGTTGATACGGGAGTGCAGGGACGCGATGCAGATTCAGGGATGCAGTGTGGATTTGGGGGTGCAGAGATAGGGATGCAGGGATGGGGGTGCAGGGGTGCGGTGTTGATACGGGAGTGCAGGGACGCGATGCAGATTCAGGGATGCAGTGTGGATTTGGGGGTGCAGAGATAGGGATGCAGGGATGGGGGTGCAGGGGTGCGGTGTTGATACGGGAGTGCAGGGACGCGATGCAGATTCAGGGATGCAGTGTGGATTTGGGGGTGCAGAGATAGGGATGCAGGGATGGGGGTGCAGGGGTGCGGTGTTGATACGGGAGTGCAGGGACGCGATGCAGATTCAGGGATGCAGTGTGGATTTGGGGGTGCAGAGATAGGGATGCAGGGATGGGGGTGCAGGGGTGCGGTGTTGATACGGGAGTGCAGGGACGCGATGCAGATTCAGGGATGCAGTGTGGATTTGGGGGTGCAGAGATAGGGATGCAGGGATGGGGGTGCAGGGGTGCGGTGTTGATACGGGAGTGCAGGGACGCGATGCAGATTCAGGGATGCAGTGTGGATTTGGGGGTGCAGAGATAGGGATGCAGGGATGGGGGTGCAGGGGTGCGGTGTTGATACGGGAGTGCAGGGACGCGATGCAGATTCAGGGATGCAGTGTGGATTTGGGGGTGCAGAGATAGGGATGCAGGGATGGGGGTGCAGGGGTGCGGTGTTGATACGGGAGTGCAGGGACGCGATGCAGATTCAGGGATGCAGTGTGGATTTGGGGGTGCAGAGAAGGGGATGCAGGGATGGGGGGCAAATTCAGGGATGCAGTGTGGATTTGGGGGTGCAGAGGTGGGGGTGCAGGGATGCAGTGTGGGTATCGGAGCGGAAGGATGGGGTGCAGCAATGCGGTGTGGGTATGGGGGTGCAGGGACGGGGGTGCAGGGATGGGTGTGGTTACAGGGGTGCAGGGATGGGAGAGCAGGGATGCAGTGCAGAATTGGAGATGCAGGGATGCAGTGTGAATTTGGGGGTGCAGAGATGGATGGGGGTGCAGGAGTGCAGTG